TTTACGAGCTATACCTGTGTCTGATAATAAAATTTATTAGCCCCCCCCCCCGCACTTACGGTATTTTCGAGTACCGGTTATGAATAATATACGCCATGATAAAGCTGTTTACAACATGTAAGAAAAGGGCGTATTAGATTTTAGTAAAGCCTACAATAAGTACGACCAACGTCTGTGTACTGCGGGAAGCTACCTATAATTTTGACACATCTACATTTAGACATGTAGCTGAACCCATCACCCGAAGGGCTACAGGAACTGGCCAGGGAGTATATGCAGCATGATTTCCGCAGCTTTTATTAGAGTAGAGCAAACCACGAGCGGTTTTACCTGAGTTTGTAAAGGTAAACATTTATTGCAAAATGTAGAAAAGATGCTATGAACTTCATTTGACCAAAAGCGGTTAGCAATCAAATGAACGTCATACTTGGTGGGCCACCGCATCTACTAAATCACCGCCGTCTGGCGGCCTTGCACCACGCCTGGGCCTTTGTCGCTTTCCTCCTCCATCTCTCCCTCCACTTCCTCCTTCTCCTCCTCCTGCTCACTTTTCTCTTCTTCCTCGTCACGCTCTAGCGAATGGCTTCGTGGTTTGCCGAGCGGGCGCATTTGGCAGCCTCTGCCAACGAGCGGAGGAGGGCGCTCCTCGCCGTTCTTCCACAAATCATGCCAAATCTGGAAGCATGTGTACTTGTTGTTGGGGTAGTACTTTATAACATAGATACACCCTGCACAGCACATACACATAAACATATCAATACAAATCGAGCAATCAATTACTAGTGTTGTGCTTACCGTTTCTCACCGTCACTGCATTGCTCACAGTAGAAGCGGGTAGCGCTCCTCTCCCCCACTTTTTTTTTCGAATAGAGCAAACTTTACTTTGATGCTGGGGGCGCTTTCGAAAGCATTCGTCGGCTTGTTTTCATTCTAGAAACTTGACTAGCACGTGCCCTTCCTTAGATGAAGATGTGTCTCTTCGTGGCGAGTCAGGATGCCCCTGCACAATAAAGAAAAAAACGTTAGCCAAAATACTACATGTGCAGCATCTTCCCCACAAACATGTCGTATATACCTCATTGACCAAATCGGCAGCAGTGACTTGGAGAAGCTGGTCGTGAAGCACCTCGAGGAGCTCGGCATGATCCGCAGCCTGCCCCGCACTTTGTCGCTTGGCCACGCGATAGACGATGAAGGCATTGGTAATTGCCATGTAAACCAAACCTAGAAAAACGTTTGGTATTACTTGCGGAACTGCACCGCTAATTGCAGCGAATATCGCTGCATCCTCACCTGGTCGTGGATGTCTACCCCGCCCATCCAGCGGTGATAATCCCGCATCGCGGACGGGCACAGTACTGATATTCTCCGTCCTCCTGGGATGTGATGATTGCACGCTTCAACAGCGCTACTGCCACCAGTAGATAATAGATACACGGGCATTTGATCCCACCACATCATAGCTTGCGGTTTAGGGCAGCATTTGGCAACTGCGACGGTAGCGCCGACCCTGGCCGTTCCTGTCGGTGGTGCAACAGTGTTTGTAACGAGCGCTGCGGGGAAGCCCTTCTTGTTCGTTTGTATGAAGCCGACGGTGTACACATCTCTTGTCAGCAGTTGTAACGCAAGTTAAACCGACGTGTAGAACCGATCAGTGATGACTGCATGATAGATGCCTTCCTCTTTACGGGGAAGGCCTTTGGTCAGGCTCTTCATGACTGCGCTCGGTCCAGAATTTGGGTCAGCAGAGAACAGCGTTGGAGCCTCACCACCAAGCTCATCGGTGTGCTGATCAGTTCCACAAAATACTTCAAGTCTGCCATGGCGTATATACAGCATAAATAAATATTAGAAAATAATACTATGACATGTAGAACTTAGCCATAAAAAGCTCTCCTTCACAGGAGAGCGCTGATACTTACCGAAGACAATACGCGGTTTCTGCGCAGCACGTCATGAATACCTTCGTACCCCACTTGTGGGGCTTACCTTTCATAAACTGGCGGGTCAGGTTGCGGCGGCTTCGTGACGGGATCATGGCTTCATCAAACGAGATGACAGGCGAGATGTGGTACCCGCTGCCGAAGATCTGCTGCAGCGTGTCCACCACAGATCGCACCTTCCAGGCTCGATCCGTCTCCGCCCTCAAATCGGCGCTGTCCGTAAAGTGCAGGCTCCGCATTATCCTGTCGAAACGCGCCTTCGACATGTACTGCCCGAACGTCTCTTTCGGGATAGCACCAATAGCAGTCTTCGCCCAGTGATCAGCGAATTGTCGTTTATGAGAGTAAAGCATTCTCGCCACCAATAGTCCAATACAGTGTAATACTTCATCCGCCTTGAATTACTCGTGTCTTTTTGTTTCACCGAGCAACACTTCGTCCCTGGACACATCCTCACCTTTACCGACCCATCTCCACGCATTTTCTTCAGCGCGTCACCGTCCAGAGCCAACACTTTCAATTCGTTGTTGTTCATGATATCCCAGCTGGCGGTTACTTAAACCCCAGTCACGCGTCAGCTTTGACTTCGCCTCCGCTAATCGCTCTCGTTCTACCTTTTTCTTTTATCTCTTCTTCTGCCGCACCATTAGAACAGCTCCATCCAAAGATCAATCACTTTCCTCTGAAGGTGTTTGGTCAGGCTTTTCTTCAGGGTCTTCAAAAACACCCTCTGTGTTAGCGATGCAGTCGCATCAATGACACCAGACGGCGTGTTCAATTTCGTCCCCGTCTCCGTTTCGATATACCACTCATCAAGGTCAGCACCGTCCCCTCCATCAAGATCAGAATTCAGTGCCTCGTCGTTAAAGTCGCGACCGTGCGCGAGGCCTCATCTGGTCCGTGCTTGGCCGATGCGACAGTGCTCTTTCTAAACCAATTTACATAATAATGCGTTAATATACAACATAATCGTTTTCAAATATGTGCTACATACATCATGATATAGCCATGTACCCATCTGGAGAGTCAGGAGCCTGTACTTGCGCTGTAGCAGCCTGCTTCCAGGTAGGCCCACCGACGACTCATCAGGGGTGATCAAGTCATCTTCTTCCGCGGTGGTATCCACCACATGAGTACTGGAGGTTCTCATCGGAGAATTACCCGGCACTGAGACGAGAACCTGCAACTTGAAATGCACACAAAAAATACAACATTATGTTAGTCAACACAAGTAGTATATGCTGCATGATCGTATTGCTAACCTTTTCGTGTCGCTCTTTTTGCGTTTTTTTTTCACACGTACCAGTCATCGTCTCCGACAAGCCAGCAGGCTCCGCTGATCTTTTTCGCTTCAGATCAGCAAGAGCGCGTTTACGTGAGTCGGCTCCTCGTCGTTCCTTTAGCGCAGCGCGTTCCCGCTCCTTCGCTTTTTTTTCGAGTCAGGGCAGAATGCTGTCGCTTCGATATCTTCTTTTTGCCCGGGCTAGGATAAAAGAGTATGCATACAGCATCAGATCAGTTCACATAAGCAGTATATACTTCATGAACTCTACATACCTCTTCGGCGTGGATGTCTTGGTCTTGCTGGAACGGCCGCCCTTATTCTTCGCAGCTGTATTCTTCTTCGCCGCGGCCTTTTCAGCCTGACGGTCCGCCATGCGCTGCTTTGCGGCCTCAGTGTATGCGACGGTCTTTCCCGTAGGAGGGAGATGTATTCCTGACGCGGGTACGCGCTCCGGCCGCTCAGCGCTCGTGTTCCTCGTTTCGTCTCCGAAGGCGGCGTCGTTTTGCCTCTCACCACTCAGAAATGCACGGTGCTCTGCTAGCAGGCGGTGCCTGTCGGCAGTACTCCTTTCCTCAAGGTGCGCTCGGAACGCTTCAGCCTCGCGGCGCGTCTCCCGTCGCGGCGCCATAATCGTTTTTCTTTTTCTCGGAGACTCTACAGCCACATATCTATTCGTACTTAGCAACAATATGGCTTTTCTGCCTAGGCTATCTTTGTAATTTTTGTTCGTTTTTTTGTGAATATTTTCCCTACACCTGTGCATCTCACGTAGAGCGTTCTTTTTATGTAAATGTCGTCATATCCAACATATAAATACGGGGGGGGATAATCAGACGCATGGTATTGTTTCCATAATACCCTTCATTTATTTATGCATTTTCTTATAAATACCCAGGTTTTTATTTTACGATAACTGACCCCCCTGTGAAATAAATTTCAGATAATTCAAAGCCCAAAATTTATCACTAAGAACAAGCACTACTTTTTGCCATTCGTTATAAATCTTTCAATGCACGCGCTTTCGACCTGAAGAGTCTCCCGATCGAAAGTCTCCAGTGTAAAAAGTAAACCCTAAAACGGCGATGCGCTCTTGAGAAAATTCCCGAAGTGTTCATTGTTGATCTGGGCTTCCCAACGTTTCTGCCGTTGTTCAAAGCTAACAGGACGCGTCAGTTAGCTGTCCCCACATGACCAAACCTGGCTGTATCCATTCACGTTAGAGAGGTACACAGCTGAAGGGGATAAACACATTACCGTGATATTTGAATCGAAGAGTCGTTGATCTGAGCTGTCGCTCTTCGCGTGGTGAGGCAAAGTAAAAACGGAATAAATTGGACACTATGTCATTTAGCTAGCTGTTGGCTACATGTGTTGAACTTGTGGGTAACGTCAAACCAGTGACGTAGGCTGGTGACGTCACGTTGAATCATGACAAAACGACGTTCGGGTAACATATATCGTTCGGTCAACGTTCAAGTGTGTTTACATCACTACACGTTGCGCGCAGTTCCTAGCATGGAATTTCGTAGCTCAGCGGGTATACTAAGTGTTTAATAGCCCACGGCAGATATGACCAGTCATTTTCTGGATATGAATTGCTCGTGAGCCAATAGGACGCTAAAGCAGGAGTTGACTTTAGCTCGACGTCTTGATCAATTTACAGTTAGTACTACTGCGGCAATATTTGAGTATTTGAAACAACAGTATGTTCTAACCTTAAAAAAAACTAGACCAGCGTGATTGCTAAGGCCATTGAGGGGCTCAATCATTCAATGACTGAATCTATCCAAGTTCAGATGGACATGGGTACCGGACCTTTTAAACAACAGAAAGTGAATGGAGGCAGTTGTCCGGTTCGGTGCCATATTGAGGTGATCGAACTATGCTGGACAGAGAATGGTTTTTACGCCGATGTTACACTATCTTAGGCGGTGTTTAGATCCAAAACTAGATCACGATTTAGGGCCCTAAATCGCGATTTTCGAGTGATCGTGATTTTTCAAAAAAAATGTGCTTCCAAATAGGACCGCGATCTTCATAATCAAATTACATCTGTAATTTGCAATTGTTGGGGCTAACATGGCGCTTCCATACACCGCACAAAAGATCGTGATTTAGACAAAAGATCGCGATTTCAAACTTGCTACTCTGACCAGAAACTTTTATCGCAATGTTCCCTCGTGGGGGCGCCAAAACATGGCGTCTGAAGACCAAGAGCGCGCGTCTTGGGACAGCGCGAAAGATGCCTCCCTGGTAGATGCCATGACGCAGCAAGCGCAAGCAGGGAAGAGTGCTGACAGCGGCTTCAAGAAGGAAGCGTGGACCGAGGCACTAGCTGCGTTCAACACCCGTTTCGGTCGAAGATGTCGAGGCAGCAGATCAAGTCCAGACTGACAGCGGTACGTAAATCGGTTACAGCGCTTTCTTTTACAGGCTCTGAATATGATACGTTCGCTTAACTACAGCTGAAAGGCATCTATACGTCGATCAAGGCGATGCTGGACGGGTCGGGATTTGGCTGGGATGATGAACGTCATGTCGTGCTATTGCATGACTCTGTTTGGGATGATTATGTCAAGGTACAACTATTGCGCACTACAACCATTGACAAACCGCCTTTGACTAATGTTTCACTGTGGACAGAGCCATCCAAAAGTTGTTGATTACCGCAGGAAGGCCATGTCATTGTTTGACGACCTTCGTGACCTCGTTGAGGGAACATATGCTACCGGAGAGTATGCATTAGCCTCCGAAGAACCTTGCCCAGGAGACATTGCTACATGCCCATCTTCTCAGCAACTAACGCAAGCAGCAACATCTTCTGGGCCTGTAGCTAGTGACGAAGCTACAAGCTCAGATTCGGAGCCTGCACCAGAACCAATAATTGCTGCTACCCACAAGGCAGTAAGCAGTAAAGGTGCCAAGAAAAGACGCAACGAAAACGGGGGTGTACTAATTGCCGAAGCAATTAGTGAGGTTGCTACGGAATTGCGCCATAGAACTACTAAGATGCGAGCTCTGTCACCATTGCAGCGTGCCATCAAGTTGCTGCAGAAGGACTACGCCAACGACCTACAAACGGAAAATCTTGTTCGAGCTTTCGACGTGATGCTGGACGAAAAAAAGGCAAAGGGAATTTTGGTAATGGAGGCCGGACCAGCCCGGGATGCATGGCTGAATAAGCAACTTCAAAATGCTCAGTAAGAGCTAGGCGCCAAGAGCACGAACTCATTGCTGCATGTTAATTCATTAACGCTGAAAAGCTACATACGAATCGCACATGTTCTTAGCTAGTAGCTCACGAAGATTACTCGCTCGCCGAAAATTTCGAGTGGTATTACTCTCATGGTTGTAGGTATCAGGACGTTTATCGTCGGAATCTTCTTCTTCCAGCTCGCCTTCTGGGTCATCAGGTAAATCCTCCTGAAGCCTAATAAAATGTGGAGAACACAGCAAGCTCGAACAATTTTTGCCTGCGTATCTACCGAATATTCTGGCGCTTGCTTCAAGATAGGAAATCTCTGCTTCAACACGCCAAAAGCCCCTCGATGACATTGCGAGCTTGCGCGTGTCTTAGATTATACAATTCTTTATAGTTATGAGGCCTGCACAACCTAGCGCTAGCATTTTAGCAGATTCAAAAAAAAACATTAGACTCACCTTTCTTCTGTTTGTCCTCACTCCTTCAAATGATAACGAACACCACGATATGGAGTCATAACCTCTGTGGTTAGACCGTATCCAGCATCACCGAGGTCAAACAAGCCCGGCGGGGTCTTAAATCCCTTACGCCTTGCGTCAGCAAGCATCGTCGAATCTGCTGCAGAACCTGTATAGAGTTTATTAGCTCATGCGTTAAGTGTAAGATAGAAAAATATTATATCTACCTTCCCAACCTGACAGCACGTAGACGAACTGCATGTCGAATGTAAACACAGCAAACACGTTCTGACTGAGTTTACCAGTCCTATCACGAAATGGCTTCGCTTTTTCGCTGGGTACGTAGGCAGGGATGTGCGTGCCACCAAAGGTAAGGCGGCATTGATCGAACTGGCCAACATATGCTGGTTCGTTCTATAGCAGCTGTGACGGAGTGGCTGGTTGGACGAGATACATACTTGCCATGTTACATACAACATCAAGAACACGGTAAAAATGCCTGTTTAAGTGACACCAAAGCGTTAGCCAAAGCACGGACGTAACAACAATTTGAAAACTCACCGATGAATAGTTTCTCCGCTATGTTGAAAGCGCTCTTGAAGATCGCTGTTCGAGGCGCTCTTTGCGATACTGTAAAGGAAGATAGCTGACTTCTCCTCTACACTGACACGGGACCAGGGTGTCTGTCGATCCGCATTGTCAAGGGCAGCGCATAAGGGTCTGAACACGGGCTTTGTCATGCGGTAGCTTCGGAACATGCGTGTCGGTTTTTTTTCTTCAATGAGCTCTGCTACCCAATCGTATCCCGTCAGGATGGAGTTGTGGAGAGGCTGCCTGTGAAAGTAGGTGTGCCCATTGTATCCGGCGACGATAGCTAATACACGGACGATGTCTTCATCGTCGTCAGATGCATCCTCTAGCTGAGCGACAGAGTCTTCTTCACTCATGGAGAATCCCAAAATCTGAAAGGTCACCGCTCGTTTGCAACCACTGGATTGCAAAGAAGGCAGCGATCACGATCTTTTGGCCTTTGCGATTTTTGTCGTGCGGTGCCAAACGCGATTTTCGGCTAGCAGGTTGAGTTTGCGAACCGTCAACAGTTTGTGATAAAAAAAATGCGGTGGATCCAAATAGGCCCTTAACTTGACTTTCATATGCTGGCAAATTCTCCCTCGCTGCAAAACCATTAGCGATAGTGCGGGTTTATGTGTATTGTTGCTTTAATGCGCGGAGTGTTGCCAGTCCCTACTCGTTATTGTGCTTGCAGCTGCTTGTAACGTTGTTTTATTACATTTAGGTATTAATACCGTCTTCGTGTTTACACGGTAAAACAGGATCGCTCTAGTTTAAATTCACTTTTTTTCATCTTGGAGTTTTGCCAAGCTTTTTCATCGCACGCGAGATTTTGTCTTCGGGATGCCCAAATTGTTTCCACATTCCGAAAGCTGTGTGGAGGCCGGGTTTTCCAAGAATCTCGTCATACACAGTCACGTCGCGCAGCCATTTCGTTTTCATTTTGGCCGTCTCGGACTTCCTAAAGATATTGTCGCCTCTTTCTTCTTCATAAATACGGAGCGACCTCTTTTGGATTCCAGCAAAGTGATGAACAGACGAAAACCCCTCCGAGGATACCACCTCGTCCGGAAGAGCGTTGCCTTTCCCGAGCAGGACAATGGTTTAAGTTGGAGATGGAGATGAATGCGCATCGCATATTATTCTTTCTGGGATTGAAACCGATTAGTTGAGTACGGTGAGAACAATTGCGGAATGAAGTAAGTGCGCTTATTAAGAAGAGAAAAAAAAACCATTAAGTCGACACACGGTTAAAACCAGACTTGATTATGGTACGGAACAAATCGGTGTGCACAAACCACAAACCAGGCAGGATTTTCGGAGGTCGCCCAAAATTGGGTATTGATGCAGAGGTTGTTTGCCATGAATTGTAAATAGATACAACACGCAATCGAAAAAATACGACTACAGGACGTGCTTGTCTCTTTAGATAACTTGCGGCGGATATATTAGGAATTTTGCTCTACCATATCAGAAAAATATTGACCAAACGAAAAGATAAGACTCAGTATCTTCAATTTGCATTAAAAGACGCAGATTTATGTCCTCTTTATCGTAAGCACCAAACTAAACATTAAACAGCTTCTTCACTGCATGACATGCTGCCGAACACACGCTCTAAATGCATGAAGGCAGCGTGCACATCTCGTTTTTTGTTCGGTTGTTGACAAGCTGTCTACAAACCCCCGACAATCAATTTATTTTACTTTTTAAGAAATAAAGCGATAAAAGTACCGTTGGGCGGTAGCATTTGACAGCCACAACCTGACTATTACTGGGACCTAAGACGTCAGAACCACCTCACTATGCTTATATGTTATACTGTTATCACGTTAGAACACCTTAGCGAAACAAGCGCATTTGAGAGAGTTCAAATCTGCCCACTTTTCGCCTGAATGTGAGATATTTCCCATGTACAAAATGATGGGAGGTGGGTCGTTCAATATACCCAAAAACCAAATAAACTAAAATCCAATTTGAGAACTCATGATGGAGACCGAGGACAACGTCGTTGGCACGCTGTTCTTGCAGAACGGAGAAGACAATGGCTACGACCCAGAAGACTTTGTGCAGGGGCTGGACGTGGGGAGCTCGACGCCGCACTTTCGCATCTCAGTAGCGGACGATGACGGTGGCATCCCCGGTTCGCTCTTCGCTTGCGCTGTCTGGAACGGAGCGGTGCGTTGCTACTGCAGCTCAAGTGCGAAGAACAACATTGCAACTTAATCTACTAATCCAATGCTACATTTCGCTGTCCAGAAATTCATCGCCATGCACTTCGCCAAACATCCCGAGCTGGTGGAGGGTCGGAGGGTCGTGGAATTCGGCGCAGCTTCGTGGGTTTTTCAGTGAAAGCAACGTAAGATACGAGGGAACTTACAGACGATCATTGTTAATTATTCTACAGGGCACTGCCGTCGCTTGTGGCACTCCATTTCGGTGCAAAGTTGGCTGTTATGACAGGTGAGAGGGGATTCATTAGTGTTTTAAAATTTATTTACGTATTGGAGTGGTCTTTTGCAGATTACCCGAACGACTTATTGTTGAAAAACATTGAAACGAATATCAAGCGTAACGCACATTTATTGGGGACTGGGAGACGTGACGTACGGGGACATCTCTGGGGTAGTGACACAGCTGCGTTGCTGAAATGTCTTGATGCTCCCCCGTCTGCCGTGTTGGACGAGCAAAAAGAGTCTGAAACTCCAGACGACTCGACAAAAGCTCAATTTGATGTGGCAGTTGTTGCAGAGTGTCTATGGCTGCATGACCTGGTAAGTTTCGATTACTGAGGTGAAATTTGAAGATGGTCTTATTTATTGTTGGCTTCCCAAGCATGAGGACTTGCTGAAATCAATCGACGCGTGTCTGTCACCTGGAGGAAAGGTGCGACATGTTCTTCTTCTATATGAATCGCATTGTCTGTTAATGTTGTGATCGAAATTTGTTGTGTCTTGACAGGTATTTGTAAGTTTTGCCCACCACGTCCCAGGCCACGAAGAGCACGATTTATCGTTCTTTATCAAGGCGAAAAAGCTATTCGGGTTCGACGCTGTCCATCTGGACACGCTAGCTTCCCCGCATATCTTCAATGCCGACAGAATCGTCGACCAGTATTTGTACATGCTCACCAGGTCCAAATAACAGTGCAATTATGTTCCAGATCCCATGACATGGCAAAAAATATGTTTCGATGAAAGTACTCTAAAACAAATAGAAAAGTACTTGACACCCACATCCTAAAGGTTGTGGATACCATTATCCTAAGGATGTGGCGATGGAAAGGTCTGGCAGCAATAGGCCGTCACGTCCACAACTGATCGTGTGGCGCTCAGTCGAGAATTGAGGGTTGTTCTCAATAAACTCGAGGTAGTCGGGCGCACCAGGTCTCACCACGTTGTCTGCAGCAAATAACAGAGCCGGGAGCCAACGTTTGACTGCCGATAATCAGCTTTAGATCGGACAAATAGACCGTCTTCTCGTGGTCGATGAAGTACAACTACACACAAAACACACAAACACAGTAATGCGACTCCTTGCCGACGACCTCGCGCTGCAACCTCACCGCCCAGTTCTGCCATCACGACTGGCTTTTTCTTGCGGATCTCCTCGTCAATCACGGCTCCCTTGACTTGCCCAATGTTCATCATGTGGTTCGTGGACGCGAACTCGTCGATGCAGTTGATGACGGAGGTCGGATTGCCGCGCTCTGCGTGTTGTTTGACGTATTCGAGGCACTTGGCCGAGCTGGAATAGTCAGGACGTTCAGTTAGAGATAAGTCATACATTTCACAGAGATAGGAATTAACGCACTCGCGTCCGTCCAGCGGTCAATCTGCTCCTTTGTGGGTCTGGGACCGTTGCCCCACGGTCCATTGAAAGTTGGCTGTGCACTCATAATGACGGTGAGCTTGCGTGGGGAGATGAAGGGGGGGGGTGCTTGCAGTGCAGATTGAAAAATGAACAACGCTTCATCGTCTAGCTCTGCTAGAAGGAGCAAGCAGAGATAATCCCCAGTGCATCATCGCATCAACCAAATGCTTGAAGTGATTATGACCAGCCTGAAGGCTTGCCAACTACAGCCTGTAGTTGGCAAGCATTCAGGCTTGGTCATAATCAGTAGTCTACAGGACAAGGATCGCCAATCTAACATGGGCCTCGAACAGCTGTATGACACAGCAATGCTGATCTCGTTCTGCCAAGTTCTTTTGTGTATGTAGCCATTTTGGCTTGGTTCTAAGCTAGCTAAAAGATAAAACACACTTATAATTTCTTAGCACACAGAGTTGAGTTATTTATGCAACAAATTAAAAAAGAATCACAGTTAATTGATGCTTCTCGGAATCAAATATAGGACAGCAGCATGTACAGCGTGAGGTTCCCGACTCTGGGTTTCTTCCCCCCGTTGCCAGCGCTCGTGATAGGATGAGTCGTCCGTGTTAAGTCGATGGGAGGCAGCTTTCTAGTCACCACGGCACCACCTGCACGATCGGCGCCGTTGCGAGACTTCTTATCGAACGGAGACTTGAGAAACTTCATCTTGAGCAATAGATCTGGGAGTTGAAGCGGACGACACGCCGGAGATGCAAGAAATGAAGATGCTGCTTGACGTATGCAAATTTGTGAATGATTCAATGGGCTTTTAAATGAAGTCCATCGGAATGCATGTAGATCATGCGCGAATGTTTGTGGCAAGGGAATCTTCCCGTCTCAATACCGGTACATGTACCGCGATCAGCAATGCATGGACTGTCCGGAGCCACGAAACGGCTCTAAATTTGTGACCATTAGTGGGTCGCTTTGCATCATTAGAGCGTCTCTAAAGGTCGGTCTCCAAACGATCTTGTACATCTGCTAACGAGAAGATGGCGGAGCGGAAGCGATGGGACAAGCAGCAGGACTTTCATCCTCCCAGTAGCTCCTACGCCCTCGAGGCTAAAGCAGATCCCGTCCTCACAAAGCAGCTTCAGTATATAAAAGTACTCGAGGAGAGGAACCGAGTGAAGAAGCGCCTAGCTGCCGCCTCAAAGAAGAACGACCGTCTTCACGAACGCGAAGAAGCTTTCGTAACGGCGTTTAACGTCCCAACACGAGCTGCACAGTCCACTTCGTCGTCCTCTTTAAGCTCAAGAAACACCAGGTCGGCCACGACGATTCTACCCACAAAACTACCAGGAAAGCTCTCTAAATGCAAATCAGCACCGTCCACGACGTTAAACTATGTTGCATCCGGAAGCGAAGAGAAGGAGAAGAATGCAGTGCGTAGAGCCAAGTGGAGTCGCCCTAAAGCTCCGATGGACGTCGCTGTTAAACACGAAGACGGAATGCCACTCTTCCGTCTTACGACACATGAAGAGAAGATTGAGGAGAAAGATGGAGAAGGTGAAGAAGACAGTTATTTGGAGGAGTCATTCGAGGAGTTTGAAGAAGAAGACGAGAAGGAACACACACGTGGACGCTTGGAGGAGCTGGTAATCGAAGAAGACGAGCGTGAGATGGATACACAAATTGAACAAGTCGATCTCTCCAAGACAACTAAAGAGCTTTTTGCGATTATTCAACATCTTTCACGGTCTAAGCAACGAGCATTGGTCGATGTATTGCAAAAGTTTCAGAGTGGGGAACAGAATGAAAATGACGTGAAAGTTTTACAAAGTTCGATTGGCGATCCTGAAATTTGGAAGGAGATTTCAGCGACACTAAATACGCCCAAACCACTACCAAACGAGCGAGATAGCGAATTTTCCGAAGCTGTATCGGCCGCTTCCGTGGCTCCAGTGAATAACTTGGTCGAACAGCAATTACAACTAGAAGATGAGTACGAAAAAGAAATCAAGGAACGTCTTTTTCATGAGCGAGAAGAGAAGCATCGTGTACTGAACGAAGCAGCCGAGCGTCGTGCGAAAATGATGAAACAATTAGAGGATGAAGAGCGTGAGATCGAAAGACTCATGGAAGTCAAACGACAGGAACGTCTCGCAAAACTACGAGCACTGCAGGACGAGACTAGTGCTGTTGAACCCACTGAAAGTGTGGCTAAAGTAGACGAACACACTGATTTAACAATCCAAGGAGAGACAAAAAAGCGCAGAGAATCTCCGCAGGGGGATGGTGACTTATATGCTGACGCCAAGAATACATCGACAGCTCCGGAACAAGGGGAAATTTCAGCTCAAGGCGACTCAAAATCCGTGTCATTAGTGCCACGTCTCAATTTGTCTTTGACGTCGAATCTCGAGACCGGTGCTACTTTTGATATTCACGTAAAGTTGCTGTCGACATGGGGTCGAACACGAGCGGTGGGGCTCACTCAGATCTGCGTCTATGACCTCAATGGCGATGACCTTTCTGTAGACTTGGAGACTCTGCAGCTTCACGATCAACCAACGGGTAGACCGCTACCGAAGACAAATGACATGGTCCGTGGACTGCAGAGATTATTTAACGGTGTTGCGCAGACCAACAAGGAGAAGGAGATGTGGCTTGGACGATTCGGAGATGCAGGTAACAAATTTCACTTCTTATTATAATTTTTTGACAAATTGTCTGACAATTTTTTGCAGGAGTTCTCGTCATCCGCTTCCAGGTTCCTTCCAGCCCCAGTAAACTTTGCGTATGGAATTTTAACAGTGTGCGTAACTTTTTATTCATTATGAGGTGGTTCTTAAAACTAATATTTTTTTAATATTTTATTGCAAAGAGATCGCACATTGCTTGTACTCGGGACGTCGAAGTGTTAGTGAGTGGCAAAACGGTGTGGACGGGCTCTCTTCCTGAAACTTTTGGTGACGAGGACGACAATATCTGCACGTGGATTGACTTACTGGGCTCGGCAAAGAAGACTTCGCGTACATCTCGTAATGAGAAGAGCTCTGTATCGTCCGAGCGACACCTAACAACTCGAGTGGACGAGACAAACGCTGCGAAGTCAGTCAGTGGAACTCCACTGTGGCTATCTGGATCGACTCCTTCGTCACTGTTAACCCAGCGATTACCAGCTACAAGTCGATCTAGTGAGCTTGATACGTGGACTGCAGACGAGAAACCATCCAATGGCAGTACAACCAGTCGTCGACGACAGGGGAAGCCGCTCTACAGTACTCAAAGTACTTCAAGGGATGCGAAAGAGGCTTCTACAAGCGATGATCGTGTAGAAATAAAGTGCTCGAGTCCCGTCATTAAAGCGCAGAAGCCTCTTGTAACAGCTCCTGCTCTCGCGTCTTTATCGTCCTGGGATAGTCTGGGAAAATTCAGTAAGACAAATCGAAGTCGCCTTGCACAGCCTACTGATACCGACCAACAGGAAAGCTACGACGGCCAGTCCATCTGCGAGTCGTACGTCGTTTACGA